CATAAATTTATAACTAAACTAATCAAAAATAAAAGTAGTAGCATTAAAAAATTTACTCAAAAACAAACAAAAAGTACAAGAAGAATTGGAATATAGCAAAAGATGACTTCATCTTTATGTTCTTCCTGTTCAGAAGCAATTTTTTCTTCCAAATCTCGTATTCTTCCTTGTGCTGCCGCTCTAGCCTTTAAAGCCTGGTTCTTCCCTTCTCGCCGAACTCTTTCAACTTCGTCTTCTAGCTAAAATGCGAACATGTTCTTTAAAAATACACTCCTTAATATTTTCATACCCACCCAAAAACTGAAGTGCAAAAATACTTGAGCAACTCGCGACTGTGCAAAATCGTTTTCTAATTCACGTATTATTTTCCGAAGTTCATCATTTTCCGAAGTTAAATCAACAACCGCCTGAGCAATATCATCACAAACACTGCCAGTAATTCCTAATGATAAAGCGTACATAAATGTAACAAAGAGGCAGGAGCGGTTAGACTCTTAGACTTTAAATTCAAGATCAATTATAAATAAATAAAACTTGAAATTCCTACTGCAGTCAGTTACACATGCACAACTAGAAAAGGACAAAACAGTCAATTTCCATACCTTCCGCATTAATAGAACGTTGCGGTTTGAGATCAAAAGTGACTTTTTTACGCTGCTTCTTTCTTAATTCCAATGGCACTTTAGATCCATTTTCAAAATCCTCAAGCACCATCATTTCAGTAGTGATGGAACTTTGATCCTCACTGGGATCCACAGGTGGTGGGGAATGGCGATCTTGAAAATTTAAATAACCACTAGCTATAAATAAAAAAACTTCTATCAGAACTAAAAGACCAACAAAAATAGTACCAGTCCTTAACAGCATAACTGCTCGGCCAGGTATGCTGGAATCCAAGGCAGGTCGAAATCCTTCCCTACGATTTGATAAAATCTGAGCTTGCAGTCTAACACTCAGTTCCGTTTCAGTCGACACATCTTTCTTTTCTTTAGAATCTATCTCCTAGATGTTTACACAATTAATTTTATTACAGTGATGGATAACCTTCTGTCACAGCAACTATTTATGACAAATAACTACAAATCCAAACTATAACCATTAAAAGTCTGTACCATAACTCTTTGTTGAACGATATGAAACGCTTTAGAGCGCGCTTGAACGACCTGGTTTTGTTCACGGCACATTTCTTGGAGATCTAGAATTTGCCGCTCCTTATCTAATATAGTACTGTTAAGCTCCATAATCCTCGTGTCCTAAAAAAGATTTTCTCCCTTTAATTGTCGCCGTAATCAGAACTCTCAGACCACGGATTTATCAAGAGGCATTTAAATTACTTTAAGCAAAAATTGAGCACTCTGGCAAAATACCTTGTACACTAATTGTGAATGCATGCGATCTAAATCGTGTTTCGCTATGACCTCAACATCGACAGGGCGCTTATCTATATCCTCAACGTAATTGCCTAATGCAGCTAAAAGTTGCTCTTCAAGATTCTAAAAAAATTCACCTTAAGATTCTTATTTTAAATAGCATCTTGACAAGGATAGATACGGATAGAAACATACAAGAATGAACAGAAGCCAACTAATAGAAAAACAAAACTGACTCGTATTTTTATTACATGATCGCTAAGTTCCGCTTCCTTAGTTGCTAAACTATTTCGTAAACTTTCGTTTTCGCTCTTTAATTTTTCAACTTCTTTTTCTGCTCCAGCTAATCGAGCAAACAACTTCGCACGATTGTCCTTAAAAAAGCCATAAGACCTTGGAACCAGGAACAAAGTATTAGCTACTCTCCGAATCAAGAAGAGGACTACAAAAACACATTTAAAAAACCAATAATAATCATAAGTTTAAAAAAAATCACAATATTATGGAAATGCAACTTACTGAGTCATCACTTTCGCTGTTTGCCACGTTCTCAAAAGCCTTCTGCAATTCCAATAAACGCGCTTCCGATTGGTACTTACAGTCTGCATATTTCTCACTCAGCTCCTAAAACAATAATGATAAGGAGTTCTTAATCCATAATAAAATATTTTTTAAGATTTTTCCAGCAACATTATGGACTTCAGTCTAAGTGATTCTTTGTACAGCAGACTGGTTAAAAAAAGAGGGGTCATTTTCCTACAAACTGCAAAGAGAACTTCAAAAAGTAGCAAAAATTTCAAAGCAAAAACCTTAATTTCGTTATCTTTCAGCCTCAGTTGATTCTGGTAGGAAATACAAACTTGACACGCCATTTGAGGATTAAAAAAGTATAAATGTAGTTGAGTTATCAATGAAATTAGAGAAAGTGAAGAAAATCACGGAAATATGATAAAGATATTATGAATACGTCTCAAACTGTACACACCAGAAACCCGTCAGAAAAATATACCACCCAGTAAGAAAACAAAATCTGAAAGAAGATGTTATTTATGCTTTCTCAAATAGTAGCAATAGGAAAAAGCACAAAAACAATGCTTCCTATGGCAGTAATCTGAAGTAAAGTAAAATGGATATATTATCATAAGATCAAAAGACGTCAAAAATCATGTCAAAACATCACTTGTTTTCAAGTTAATAGCAGAAGAAAGAGGAAAAAAACACCAAAATGAATAAGACCAACGCTCGTCTCAGAAACTTTCAAAAAACATCCAATACCTGCTTTTTCAGCAAAAAGCCATAGACGCAGTCTACCCAGAGTGATCAAAGGTACATCATACGTCCAAAGCGAGGCTTCATATTCAGTCGTCTTTCTGCAATTATTGTCAAAGGGCCAGTCAGTTGGAAGGTTTCCAGCAGTGCCAACTCTCTCTCGCAATGTGACAATATCGTTCCAATACCGCTTTCGTATTCAGTGCAAACAGCAGTTTAATGCAACTTTCCAAGCTTATCTCGCTAGTCGCCTTTAATGACTCATATGCCAACTCCTGCACGAAGTTTAGATTTACTGTATTTTGTAAGCAAGAAGTTTCAGTGCGAAAGTTGTTATTTAAGAGGAGATCAAGAACCCAGTATCTTTCAGTTCGTTTTGAAATGGAAATTTTACAATTCTTCCTGAAACATGGGAAGAAACTAAATGTTGAGACAAAACGGGATTAAAAAGTCATGTCTTTTTAAACATATCTAGAAATGTTCAACCACATAAAGGATGCGGTTTCGACTTTTCAAATTTGGTCGTATTCGAGGTGAATGGCTATTTTTTCTTCATGGAGAGTGATAGTCTTTGTGAAGCTGGGTTTTTAAGGCACCACTGTTTTAAAGACTAAAACTCAAACAAAATCTAATATTTATACATTCAAAAATTATAGCAAAAAAGACATGTAAAGCTAAAACCAGGTTTATGAAATTTAATTTAATTGTGGAATTAGTCATGAGGAAGATTTTATCGTTTAAGAAATAAAACCCAATTGCTTTAGTTGGAAAAGAAATGACGGATAAATATGGCAAATCTGAGGCAAAACGCTATCGAAGGGAACGCATCTGTAATACTAGTCAACCTAATAATAAAGTACAATTTTACCAGAAACCTGAAACTTATTCAACTGCTTGGTTATCCATCTTTTCATCTATGAAACGCAAGACATTGTGCAAATGAATGCCTTAAAATTGAATGACAATTTATGCGTTTATATTCATTAAATAATTGGCATATCTGAGTGAAAATACTGAACGCTCAGTTGTTAAGAAAATTTTTCGAAAAGAGCCTTACTCTACAGCTGTTCCGAGAGAACTCAAAGCTTGCTCGATAAATTCTGTAATCATTTAGCAGGGAAGAACAAAAACAAAATTTGCTGCAAAAATTCTTTATAAACCAATCTCATTTTTTCATATGCTCTTCACTAATTTTTTTTTTATTAATATTACATTGAACATTTTTTCTGGAAAGATGAAAAACCGTTGTGGATGTCGTTTTAACTTTAATTTTACAAAGTACGGTTCAAATCCGGATTGTCGACAAAAGTTCCGGGTACCAGTAAAAAGGAAGAGGTATCTTGATAATTTTTGATGAAGAAGATGGAGATTAAAATATGATGTGATCACTGAGAAGCCGTCTTAATGTTTCTGAAGTAAAATACTGTAGCCCAATCTTTAAAGCTTTAAGATGTGCTTCTAAAGCAACTCATATATAAATTTATTAAATCTAAAAAAAACAGTCTTTTTCATATGTAATGATGCGGTAAAAAGTAATCTGGGCTTATGCAGGTATGGTATCTTTGATTCCCAAAATGTAAAGTAAATTTTTAGCTATAATTTACTGTTTTTTGATTAGAAATGATCGTATGACGTTTGTTAAGAGAAAAAAATAAATGGCAACTGTTTCAATGCATGACTGCTACAAATAATCTATCTACTAATAAATTCCACAAATACTTATAAAATTTCAAAGGTTAAGTATAACAGTAAGTAAGCAAATAAGTAATGATTGACATTTCTACACTTATTTATACTTACAAGAAACATAAGCGAAACTTTAAAGAGCAGTTTTTTTGTTTTTATGGTTCAAGTATATACACGTATATAAATGCATATATATATATATATATATATATATATATATATAAAATATATATATATATATATATATTAAATAAACAAATAAATAAATATATATATATATATATATATATATATATATATATATTAAGCAAAAATGCTAACTCAAGGCGGATACTGGATAAGACTGTTGGTATGTATACTTCAATTACGACTTTGAAAATTCTTTCTCACTGATAATAACGCCTTTTACTCAGCTATAGCGCATGCACTGAAAAATACCCATAAATTATTTTGCCAAAGTCTGTTATTAGTTGTTTATCTTAATTTAGAAAATCCAAGTCTATAGACTCGGTAACAATACTCTTATCCTAACCTATGCAAGCCCAGATAACTTTTCAGCTGGTATTTGGTTCAGATGCAAATTTCAAGTATAATCTCTGTTCATTGCCTATTCAAGCGTAAATCATTCAAATAGAGAAGTTAGAATAAGCATGAATTTTAAACTAAATAGGCGACCAACCTCTTGGACACACAATATTACAAGAAGATATAGTCAATTATAGAAAATTGATAAATAAAAAAAGTAAAAGTAAACCATGCAATTGTTTTATAACATCTAATAAAAACTGAGAAAAAAAGACTAACCTAATGCACAAAGAAAAATGTTTCCTATTCAACAGGCATCATGTCGATCCACTTAGGCAACCGGATGATCAGCCGCACTCGATGATGACAACGATCATAACTGCTGTGGTCAATTAAAGGTGCACTCTGCCGGTCACTATTGAAAGTTTTTGCGTAAATGCACGTTGGATGTGACATTAGGCAGCTGGGAATTCAAAAGCTGATAAACTATTTGAGCTGGGAAAAGTATGACACGTTAAAGTTGTGAGCAAAAATTTCAAATTCTTATAGCTTTGTTCATAGAAAACTTTATTGATCAATTAGTTAAGCAGTGGGATTTGCCGGTACATCTTCGCGGTAGACAACTGAACTTCAGAACAGCAGAGCATAAAAATAAGTATTTTTTTGATTAATTTGATTTATAAGTTTTGTTTGTTTTTTTATTTCTAATGATTATTCTTCATAGAAAGTTTTACTGCAAATTTGAAAGCGTGGCCGGATTAAAAGTTTAAGATTTGAAGTGATTGTTGCCTAAGCCTTTGAACTTGCAAACCATCGGTTTGAGAACATTATCTAGTGATAAAATGCGACAGTATCAAAGCTAATCACACTGCCAGTCTCGAGGGTATATCTTTTAGCCCTTTTTGCCTTTTTCTGCTTTTGATTGACAAAATTCAGCTGACGTAGTTCCATCTATGATCAAAAGATGTGTTGAATTATTTCCTAAAATAACCGCCAAAGGATGACTGTTGTCTTCTTTCGGTGAGGATCCAGGCGTCTTCTCATTCGTACCGACACACTACCTTGCCTAGTAAAAGACCGTTCCTACTTATTTATTTATTTTTCCAACTAAGTCAATTACTCATCTAACATATCGGCTTCTGGTTCCATTTAATTCGTGATGAATCTATTTTATAAGGCTGTTTAATTCCCCAATTTAGCAAAAATTGCTCGAAGCTGATTTATCAAAAACAGTCAATTTGGTCGCTTGCTCTAGGCTGTCCTGTATTAGATTTAGAAAAGCATTAATTTTTCATTGCCTACCTCATATGCCAATAATTTTCATATCTGATGCTTCTTGTACCACCTAAATACGATCGTCTGACTTCAAAAGCCTGTCTTATAGTTTTAGAATTGATCTTTGCGGTGATATCGGTTGTATTGCAGCCATTTTTCCAGTGAAGTGTTATTTGCAAAGAAATACGGCGCAGTAGATTGGGAAATTTTTCGAAATATTGATTCAAAATCAAAAAAACTTTGAGAAAAGCTGAAAAAAAAGTGCCACTAAATAATGCCCAGCATAAAACCAGTTTGAAAAAAAAATAATTGTTTTAGAAATTTTTAGCAGTATAATAGCTTATGAAACTGATATTTTATAGATTTTATTCGACAATCGTTAATCAATTTAATGTTACTGACACTGATGAAGTAAAGTGATCAGATTATCAGATTATCTGTCAATTCAATTTTTATAGTGGCTTTTGTAATTGCAGGCGAAGGTGATGATACTACTGAAAACAAAATACTTAGAGCACCAAATATAGATGGACAGACCTGTTTGGTGTAGAAAAACCTTATATAAAAGGAGCAGTGATCAATGATTTTTTTACCAATGATAACACTTTGTTTGGATGGCAAAACAATGAAGTCAAATAGTGAGCACAAACTTTACAGCAAAACTTAAAACTGAATATTTATTTCAACAGTTCAGCTAAAAGCAAAAAGTTTCCACCCTCAGAAAAAAGGCTTCATGGCTCATCAATAAAAGAATGTTATAAACCGATATTTGTAGTTTGTGCTGTAAACAACAGCTCTTTTCCATAAGCTCTATTTCATGCAAATTAGCCGAATTCTATATCAATTTCGCTGACAGTTTTTTCCACTTTGTGCTTTTTTTAATTTACAGGCATCTTAAATTACACTGTCCCTCATTTTTGCAAAAAAAAAAATTCTTTTTTTTTGAACTCGACATTTAGCATTTGCAGTTGCAGCAGTTTTTTTTTTTTTCGACTTGCTACAGATACAGCAAACTATAACCAAAATGTTGATACTGTGGATGTCATATATTAGCGGTAAATTCTTTGTGAGAAATATAACAACTAATCTTTTATTGCAAGTCTTTTCATAATCTTGATAAGACGTCTGATACACTGTATCGCAAGATGAAAGATATTGACAGAATCATTAAAGTGCATATATATTAAAACGCCCGGTGAATGAGATTGTAAAGTCATCATACATACGTTTATCAAGTGTTAAACATAATTAATCGTAGAAAAAATAAGGCACAAAAGACAGATCAAAACAGAACGATAAATGAACGGTGATTAGTGACGCCGAAAATTGTCATCAAACTGTAGTTGAATAAAATTAAAACTGAAAAAATCATTTGAAAAATTTTAGAATACAGTTTTAAAAATGTTTAAACTAGCATGCAACTTTTTTGAACCTATTAA